GAACAGATTATGTGTATATATATATATATATATATATATATATATAGATAGATAGATAGATAGATAGATAGATAGAAAGAAAGAAAGAAAGAAAAACAAAATAGGTTTAATAAATAGTTTGTCAAGGAGATTTGTTTTGTGTAATTGGGCTTCTTTTAAACCGAAAACATTTTACAATATCAAAAGAAACGCTAAACTCTTCGGGTGTGTTGTTGTTGTTTTTTGCGTCCTACCCCCTCCCCAGCTAACCGCCCCAGCAAACGAAATACGTGTCGAAAAGCCAAAACTAAGTTTTTCATATCAGCTACGAATTTCACCGATTGAAGTCTGAGATGACATCAAAGACTTTGAAATCCTCAGGAACATTATTATTATTATTATTATTATTATTATTATGTTTTTAACAAAAAAAAAGTTGGGAGCTCAGAATCTCTTAACTAGAATTTCACTTTGTTTTGCCCGTCTAAGCGGCCTTCGTAAGCTGAAGATGCTAGAAAATAAAGAATTTAGGCGATGCACTAATGAGAGTCCAAAATGCAAATTGCAATTCGGGGATAGCAAAATCAAAGAAGCACAAAAATGTAAATATCTGGGAAGTGTTCTAAAAGAGGACGGAAAGTACGACGCTGAGATCCAAAGACGTAATGGGATGGACAAAAATGCCTTCCAAAAGCTAAGCAGAATATTAAGAGACAGAAAACCTTTGTTAGAAACAAAGAAAAGAGTATTGATCTGTTACCTGCTTCTGAAATTACAGTTTGGCAAGTTGTAAAAATCTCAGCAATATAAAATATGCAGATGACACAGTGTTGATAGAAAACACGGAAACGTAACTATAAAAGATCCTACAGAAAGTAACAAAGAAAAGCGAGAAGAAAGAACTAAGTATAAACTAGAAGACAGAATGCCTGGTTGGTAGCAAAAGGGGCAGCCCAAAATGCAAATTACAAATCAGGGACACTAAAATGAAACAAGTATAAAAATTTAAATATCTGGGAAGTGTTCTAATAGAGGTCGGAAAATGTGACAGTGAAATCCAAAGACTTATTGGGATGGCCAAAGATGCATTCCAAAAGCTAAGCAGAGTATTAAGAGACAGAAAATCTTTGTTAGAAATGAAGAAAAGAGTACTGAACTGTTACTTGATATCTGTCCTTTTATATAGCAGTGAATGCTGGACACTATCCTCAAAGATGAAGAAGAGACTTGAAGCAAGAGAGACAAAGAAAAGAGTACTGAACTGTTACTTGATATCTGTCCTTTTATATAGCAGTGAATGCTGATCAATCTCCTCAAAGATGAAGAAGACTTGAAGTAAGAGAAATGTGGTTCTACAGAAAGATGCTGAGGATGCTATGGGCCGAATATGTGAGAAATGACGAGGTTTTGGAGAAAATGGAAACAAAAAGGAAATTTAGCAAGAAGAGGCAGTTGTAATTTCTGGGCCAGATAATGAGGAAGAAAGGCTGGGAAAATCTGATACTTACAAGACAGAAAGAAGGAAAGAGAAACTGAAGAAAGCATCGCGTAACATCGCAATGAGATTCAGTAAATGGATGGTAGAATAGAGTTTAGGATAAATAACAAAAAGACAAAACATATTAAAAGCTACAGGGCACAAGAAGATGTGGAGGGCCATGATCGCAACAGAAATGTGGTTGTATAGAAAGATGCTGAGGATACCATGGACTAAACTTGTGAGCAACGACGAGGTTTTGGAGAGAATGGAAACAAAAAAGAAAATTATACTTAACATCAGGAAAAGGGCAATCAAAATTTCTGGGGCACGTAATGAGGACGGAGGGTTTGGAAAATCTGATACTCACAGGACAGATTGAAGGAAAAAGAAGGAAAGCAGCTTGTAACATATTTGATGTAATTTGATTAAATGGATGATATAACAGGTTTGGTGAGAGATAGCAAAAAGAAAAAAAATCATTGTGAGCTACAAGAGACAGGAAGACGTGGAGGGTCATGATCGTTTACGTCCTGAAGTGACACAGCCCATAAAGAAAAAGACTAGATTGGCGGCTCGTTATTTCACATTTTAAATTGCTAGATGCAACCGTAAGTTCTATGCTAACAGTTTCTTCTCTCTCTCACTTCTCGCTTGTAAAACTCACTTCCGGCCTTTTGCTTCCCAAATCAATTTTGTCAATCGTTATCTTATCCGTATTCTTTTATTTTTTCGCTCGCCTTAATAATGTTTTTCCTTTTTCTCATATTATTTCACACGAGGTAACCCTATCGAGATTTTGTTGCCTAGCTTTGGATTTAAATGATTTGAAAAAAAATGAAACCACAAACTTACCAATCGTCAGACTAAAATGGCAAATAACCAACGTTAAATCCCGAAGCCATATCCTCATCCTCAAATCGCTTTTTCCATTAAAAAAAATAATGTGGTGTAATATAATTGCGAGGGAGTAACTGGATCGATCCCTCACTCCGTCAACCACCGTACCCACGAGAGATTTCTGTCAAAATATCTAACAATAGAACAGGGCGTAGGGAGACCATTACTGCAACAAACTCAAACTCCGTCATTGGACGGAATTCAGGAAGAATTGGCTTCATGCCTTTACCAAACGAATTAGCACTAAATCAACACAAACAACATGACTGCGGATATAACGCAAGGAGAATTAAGTTCATGCCTTTAGAAAGTCATTCAGAGCAAAATGAATATAACTTGATCCCACCAGTTATAGGAGAGAATAGAGGGAGATTTGGATTCATGCCTCTACCAAAGGTATTAGTACGGAATCAAAACAGCCAACACTAGCCGACTGACCATAGGAGAGAGTACAGGGAGAATTGAATTCATGCCTTTTGCAAGGACATTAGTCAGAAACGAATATCAGCACTTCAGACCAGTTGTCTGAAGTGTTGGACAGAATAGAGGAAAAATTGGATTCATGCCTTTATTATGAGAATTAGTGCGAAATCAAAACAAACTTAAGCAAACTGGCAATGGAAGAAGATACAGGGAGAATTGGTTCATGCCTTTACCAATATCATTAGCACAGGATCAATACGAATAACTTAAATTAACACAAAAGGGGAGAATATAGAGAGAACTTGATTCATGCCTTTACCAATGATATTAGTGAGAAATCAGTACAAGCCACCTCAGTCGATTTGACATGGAAGAGAATACAGGGAGAATTGGATTTATGCCTTTCCTTAGGGTACAAGTGTTTAACATTATGTTATTTCACAATTCGTACATCATAAAATAGCCATAATGGAAATTCTTATCTTTTGTCTATCGACGATTTTATAAGTACGCAGATGTATTCACGTCTGAAGACCCGTGAAAAATTTGATATTGAAATGCCTTCTTTATGTCTTCTGGGTCAGATTTTACAAGCTAAGTAAGTATTGCATCGAGCATCACCGACCCGGTACTCCAGCAAGGAAATAAGCTGTAATTTGAGCAGTTAGTTTATTTTTCGTGTAGAAGCTTATCTGATTTATTTAATTATTTAATTATTTCTTTTTTTATTTATTTATCTTTATTTGTTTTATTTTTTCTTTCTTTTTTATTTGATTTTCTTTTTTTTTTTTTTGTTATTTTTCTTTTCTTTTCTTTATTTTATTTTTATTTTATTTTCTTTTGCTTATTTTATTTTTATTTTTATTTTATTTTTTTATTTTATTTTTTATTGCGGTTTGTTTATTTATTTATTTTATTTTCCTTTCTTATTTTCTTTCTTTTTATGTTTTTTTATTTTGTTTTGTTTATTTCTTTTATTTTTATTTTCTTTCTTTTTGTTTATTTATTTATTTATTTTATTTTTCTTTCTTTTATTTTTTCTTTCTTTTTTATTTTCACTCTTTTTTATTTTCTTTTTTATTTTGTTTGTTTTTTTTTTATTTAATCTTTAGTTTCTTAATTTTTTTATTTTCTGGAAAAAATCAAAATCTTTTCATATCGTTCTGAGCGCGAACGTAGACCCCACACCGGACTCGCCCACATTTGGGGCGATCGCAAAGGTCAACCCAACTGAAGAGATAAAACCCTAGCAGTTCCCTGCACTGGAAAATAGTATTAGCTTGTTCGGAAAATAATAGCCGATATAGATTAAACCTTTTGTGTTCTAATATATCATGTAGACCAGTTGCCATCCAAGGCTATAGAACCCAGTCTGTTTTGAGATTTATCCATAGCTAGGGAGTAGGAGAAGAAGAGAATTCATAACTTTCCCAAGGGTATTAGCATGTAAGTGAATGTAATGGATTCGACTGGAATTCGATCTCGGCTCTTCATTCTAGCCGCCATCCATTAGTGCCTGATTTAATTATTTAATTAGAAAAGCTGTTAATTGTTTTTATAAATAAAATATATTTAAAGATTCAATATGGCTTCTGCATTCGAATCGCCACTACGATTACAAAAGTCACGGGTTGGATGTTTGTGATGATATTACGGACACTGAGAAAAAAAATTTGATGAATAATCGATTTTTATAAAAATTGTTTTCATTTTTTTTTTTAATTTTAACTAGTATATAAGAAAATTTTTGGAAGTGCCTCTTCTAACCCAACACTGGCTGAACCAATTCATACTTCCAGAAAACTGAAATGTTCGTACGTAATCAGTCGCCGAATTCGGGCCGTATTTTGGGTAGACCTGATTTAAAGCGATGAATCTTATCCGTCAGTCTTCGTCGAGTAGAAAAACGATCAACAGGACTCTGGAAGAAACAACTGAGCCCAGTGCCAAATCGTAACGAAACCATTTCTCACAGACTAAGCGCCCCATCAGCCGCCGCCTCCACACTCTTTGAAAAGGGACGGAGTTGACAGGCACAGTCTGCGCCAGGAATACGGGCTGAATGGTGTTACTAATTTGGATATTGGCTGGGCATGTAATGGTTGGGGGGCGCATGCGCGCGTGTATTTGTGACGGAGGGGAGCGGGAGTATGTTTCTTTTAGGAAAGGCTTTGCCGAAAAGAGTGTCGTTCTTTGACGACAGTAGGTTTTCGGGCTATTT